CCAACTCTCACCACAACCTACCCCTCACCCAACTCTCACCACAACCTACCTCTCACCCAACTCTCACCACACCCTACTCCCTCGCCCAACCTTCACCACAAAGTACCCCCTCATCTAGCTCCCACCGATTCATGCTCCCTCTCACTTAATTTTGGCTCATTTCTGCGGCTACACTCATTCTGGTAACATAAGAGCTGACGTGAAATAAGAACTTAGATGTAATAGAAACTAAGTATGTATAATATACACTATATATACTGAATACGGATTATGTGTATCAGGGAACGGCTTAGCTGTGTAAATGGGAATTATATGTACTAAGGGGAATCAGGTGGACTAAGGGGAATTACATGTACCAAGGTGAATTAGATGTACTAAGGGGATTTATATATAGTCAGAGATGTAATAAGGAAGGGTGAGATGTAACTTAGAATGATGAGTTATAATAAGGAATGGTGGGATGTAACGTAAAATGATCAGTTATAATAAGGAAGGGTGGGATGTAACGTAGAATGATAAGTTATAATAAGGAAGGGTGGGATGTAACGTAGAATGATGAGTTATAATAAGGAAGGGTGGGATGTAACGTAGAATGATGAGTTACAACAAGGAAGGGTGGGATGTAACGTAGAATGATGAGCTATAATAAGGAATGGTGGGATGTAACGTAGAATGATGAGTTACAACAAGGAAGGGTGGGATGTAACGTAGAATGATGAGTTAAAATAAGGAAGGGTGGGATGTAACGGAGAATGATGAGTTATAATAAGGAAGGGTGGGATGTAACGTAGAATGATGAGTTATAATAAGGAAGGGTGGGATGTAACGGAGAATGATGAGTTATAATAAGGAAGGGTGGGATGTAACGTAGAATGATGAGTTATAATAAGGAAGGGTGAGATGTAACGTAGAATGATGAGTTATAATAAGGAAGGGTGGGATGTAACGTAGAATGATGAGGTATAATAAGGAAGGGTGAGATGTAACGTAGAATGATGAGTTATAATAAGGAAGTGTGGGATGTAACGAAGAATGATGAGTTATAATAAGGAAGGATGATATCGTATTAATAAGGGTACAGTGTAATGAAGAA